ATTGGTACTCCTTTTGTATCAACTTGTTTATCTGGTTTTAATTTGATACGAAGTTTAAGAAAGTAAAAGAACTTTTCAATTTTGTGATCTTAATTAAAGGTATATCCATGTATAGAATGTACAAAAATATTATTTAATCATGTGGCCGGTCTTAAACATTTCATATGCAAAAATTAGAATGAAAGGTTTTTAAAAAATAAAATAAATGTTCTTTCTGAAATGGACTAATTACTGAAAGTAAGACAAACAAATTAAAACGGAGGGAGTGAACAAATATTCCATATCCAAGGGCGGAGCCAAGTGCCAAGAGGATTCATCTGAAACCCCTTCAGCAGCAAATTACATTATTTATATATGATTAAAATTATTTCTTATGTATAAATAGTAAATGTTGAACCACATTTGACTTCTTTCATGCTTCAAATTTTGAACCTCTTAATAAAAATTCTGATTCCACCACTGATCCTACTCAATCTTATCTATAGTTTTTAAGAACAATAATTATGAAAGAAACCAAAAGGAAACAACAACAAAGAGATGAAGCCAACCCAGCAACCAACAAATAAGTTCAGCAATTCATTCAGCGCACAATGCTACGTGGTTGGGCAAAGCCAACCCACCAACAGACTACTCCCTATTGTTTGGTTTGATTGATCGAAACATAAGTAATATTATTATCACTTTTTTCCTTTATTATTTGAAAAATTGACATGCGCTTGAATGACCTCCACTAATTATCTTGTTATATTTTTGGCTAGACAAAAAAATTATTTTTGCATGGTCAGGTATTGGTTAAATTTATATAATTGCAAGTTGCAATATCATCCGGAACTCTTAATTAGAAGTTTTATGTCTGATATTTTGAAAATGAAAAAAATCTTGTTGAAAGCGTCATTTTTGAAATGGCTTTTGCAATACACGAATTTAAATTTAATCGGGTATGAGATAACGTAGTTGATCAGGCCGAGATCAAACTTCATGCGCGCACATGGTGATTTATGTCGGTTACACTGTTAGACTCCCATTATGAACTAAAATATGATGAAAGAAGCATCCTTAAGGCATTCTGAACAACTTCATCTCTTAACCTTCATATGTTACGATTATAACTATGTTAACTTCTTCTACTGATCTTTGATATGTATGTTTATGTTTCATTATTCCGTCATTTTACATATAGTACAATTTCATATGTACTTACGTCCCTTTTGTCGGCGACGCTGCATCTTTTACTGATGCAGGCATAGGTACATAGACATGATATCAAGCAACTTGCTAGGTTCCATATCTTCTTCTATTGGTGAGCCCCTTTCTATTTTCTTGGGGCATAGTCTATCTTTTCAGTATTTTATGTTTATGTGCATAAGGTATTCGGGGGCCTTGTCCTGGTAGGTATTTTTCAATTATTTTAGAAGCTTCATAGATAGACGAATAATTATATTACATTTGAGCCTTCATATCTTTTGACAATGGTTTTGAATTTCTATGACTTGCGTTATGAATTTGATTTTCTTATGAAACTTGTCTCTTCAAATGCTTTCAAATGTATTCTTCCGCTCATGTTTAAATGTATGATCATGTATGCCATGCTATTGGTACACTCATGATAACAATGACGTTGAGTGTTGGCCACTCCCAGGGTGTAGGCTAAGAGCGTGACACATAGCACATGAGACTAGTGTGGAGGTAAGACCTGATACACAGGCAATCACAAATTAAAGAAAGTGGGTTTCAAGTATTTTGGGTCAATTATTCAAGGAGATAGAGAGATAGAGGGTGATATCACACATTGAATTGGTGTTGGGTGGATGAGATAGAGGCTTCCATCCGGAGTCTTGTGTGAAAAGAAGGTGACACGTAAAGATAAAGGCAAGTTCTATAGAGTTGGTTAGACCTACTATGTTGTATGGAGTGGAGTGTAGGCCGGTCAAGAAATTTCACTTTCACAAGATAAAAGTTGCGGAGATGAGGATGTTGTGTCGGATGTGTGGTCATACTAGGAGTGATATGATTAGAAATGAAGATATATGTGACAAGGTGAGAGTGACCTCAGTGGAAGACAAGATGCGGAAGCAAAGCTAAGATGGTTCGGACATGTGAAGATAAAATACAAGTAAGCTCCACTTCGGAGGTATGAAGGGTTGGCCATAGATCATTTTAAGAGAGATAAAGTTAGACCGAAAAGTATTAGGGAGCGTGTTGTTTAGACATGACTTATCTCAATTTTCAGCTTATCAAAAACGTGATATTACATAGAAGGTTGTGGAAGATATGTACTAAGATGGGAGGTTAGTTGATATTTGAGCATGCCTTTTACTTATATTTCCATACTCAAGGAGTTTATTATCCTTTGATGTATGTTTACGTTGCTTTATTGCACATCAATTATCGATCATATTATTTTGTTGTGGTTACATTTCTTTATTCAGAATACTTTGAGATGCTCCCTATGATATTGTTCCATGTCTTTACCCTTTTTTTTTTTGGTACAAAAAATACTTATATTAATGATTAATATGCATCAGTACATGGAGAAGCAGAGTTGTACGCCTGCTAGTAGCGTTTAGGGGATACAATAGGATCATATCTATTATAATTAGTAGAAGTGGAGTTGGCCTTTGTGATCTAACAAAAATGGTTTATCCTTTGTCTGCGTCCAACTTTTTCGAAACAAACACCGACGGAACTTCCAAGAACAAAAAGAAATTATTTTGATTAGTTTTCGATCCCTCCTTTGCTAGTGCATCGGCCACGCAATTTGCATATATTATATTCTATCTAAATCTCATTTATGAAATTACCCTAAATGTGTTGTCGGTACATATACATAGGATCCTCCAATTCACCCTTACCCCATAAAATTTGATGCACTTAGTATATAGGCCAACAAGTTTTGGACACCCACCCCCCACATCTTCACGAGATCTGGATGCTTAGCTTTTGTTCTAGTATGATATTCCATGTGTTGTCGACAAAAATAATATCAGACAAATCAAAGAAAGTATATAACATGTGTTAATTACATATATTTCTCATACAAAAATTGAAAAGCCATCCACCAACGTACCGACTAAACTATTAATTGATTTTATTGGACTAAACACTTTGTTTTTTTATGTGATTGCTTTCTTGCAAAAATTAGACTCACACATTATATTTTTTGATTGATTGGTATATTAGTAATATTATTAGCTTTTTTTATCTTTCATTATTTGAAAAAGTGGCATGTTGTTTGAATGACTTCCACTAGTTTTCTTGTTATATTTTTTACCACACAAAAATTATCTTTTTGCATTGGCAGTATTGGTTGAATTTATTCCACATGAATGGTTGAAATTTCTCTATATCTAATCAGAAATTTGATATTTGAGCTTCTGAAAATGAAAAAAATTATGTTGGATGTGTTCCTCTCAGAAATAGGGCCTGTATGACATGAATTTAATTTTAATCAAATTACAATACGAATATCGAACCTCAAATAAAAAATTGAAGAATATCTTCCGTACCTAATTCAACCACTTGCTCTAGTTGCTCAGACAATGTGAATTCAGTATATAAATTTATAGATTCTAGTTTGATATTTTATACAATATATTTTATTCTTTAGATTCAATTAATTTTTATATATAATATTATATACACAGATCTTCATTGAAATTATTGAATTCAAATCAACCTGGAGCTTACGCTCTAAATCCAACACTTTATCTACCTTCACCAAAATGGATATGCGTTAATTCAACTTTGGAAGTCAAAGTCTTTGTTTGGGTCAATTCCTCCTATGATCATTCAAGTCGTAGAAATAATTCACAAATTAACATGCTATTTTTTTTAGATATGAAGATTATCAATAACATGCTATTATGACAAATATTTTACCATCACACACAACTTTATAGGTATATATATACTTACATAAATTGTCCAAAGTATTACAATTTTTTTTTAATTAATAAGGCAATAAAGAGAGGAGCTTTTGGTCGTCCTTCTGTGTACTTCCACGCAACTAAAATAAAGTTTCTACACTTCACTATTTTCGTAGTAAAAAAGAAGGGCTCATTTGAATAATTTTTTTCACATATTTCTTTCCGTTATTTTAATTTATTTATCTTACTTTCTTTTTAGTATGTCATGTATTTTAAAATTACAAAAAATATTTACTATAAATCATAATAATTAACAATATATATATATATATATTACTTCAGGCCAACTCAAATCTCCTCTAATTTTTTTTAGATATGAAGATTATCAAACTATGTGTATATTAAATAAAGAGAAAACACCCGGAAAAAAACCCTAATCTTGACAGTACAATTTACTTTAGCACTTAAATTACACGAGCGTTTAAATATCCCTTAACATCTTTCAAGTGATTTAAAAACCTCCTAAGGAATGACGTGACAGAGAGAGTGAGTGTAAAGCGCGTGAAAAAAAACGAAAAACAAAGTCCTACACATGGCCTTTTTTTATTGGTCAATATATAACTAATATTTTAAATAATTTTTCTTGATATATTAACTCTTAAGAAAATATGTACATTTTCTTATTTAGAGGTAAATGAAATTTGTGGGTCCCTTTTTAAATTTCTTTAAGAAAATTTCTTTTCAATTTGTTGTCTTCTCTCCACTTCCATCCACTAGTATAATTCGTAAATATCGATACCAACGTCATTTTATTGACATCGATTTCACTTTATATTATTGATGTCGACTTTGCAAATGTAAATTTTGTTTAATTTTGAGTAACCCATTTTGATTCCTAGATCCATTCAAACATTTCTCATAGAATTTAAATTTTTTTGATAAACTTTCTTATGCAATCTTCATTTCTTATTTGAGTTGTCAAGAAAAAATTGATTTTCAAAAAAATTTATTCCCCAAAAGGATAAATTCGTGAGGAGGATTCGAAGAAGATAATGTGAATATTATAATGAATTTTCTTCTTTAAAGTTATTTAAAACAATTGTTTAATAGTGATGGAGAAGAAAAGAAAGTGAAATGGTGAACACCAAGGAAGAAGAAGGGGGTATGTATTTATAAATTAATTAATTGGTGTAATTAATTTTAAAAAGTGTTTGAAAAAATGGTGAATAAGTAAAAAAAAAAAAAGAATCAATGACGTGGTGCCTACATGATTATGATGTGACGCTTATGTGGCTATGATGTGGCGGGTGAGAGTGGTGTTATGATCTCAAGGTGGAAAATAAAATCACTTCAAAAATGTTAAGAATGATATTTAAACGTCCGTATAATTTAAGTGTTAAATTAAGTTGAGCTGCCAAATTTAGGGGGATTTTATGTATTTTCTCTTAAATAAATAATGTATTTAACATATGAGAATAACTTAGATGATCATTTGAGGAGTCGACTCTGTCATTGCTCATCCACTTTTATAATCTATATGAATTGTTGTTTTACATCATCTTATAATACATCATTTTATATTATGTTATGTATTGTACTATTGTATCTTTCAATTATTGTTTTGAATTATGTATGTATTGTTATTAAAAAATATTTCATAAGACCTTCCCACTTCCAATGGAATAATGACAAATATTTTACCATCACACACAACTTTATAGGTATATATATACTTACATAAATTGTCCAAAGTATTACAATTTTTTTTTAATTAATAAGGCAATAAAGAGAGGAGCTTTTGGTCGTCCTTCTGTGTACTTCCACGCAACTAAAATAAAGTTTCTACACTTCACTATTTTCGTAGTAAAAAAGAAGGGCTCATTTGAATAATTTTTTTCACATATTTCTTTCCGTTATTTTAATTTATTTATCTTACTTTCTTTTTAGTATGTCATGTATTTTAAAATTACAAAAAATATTTACTATAAATCATAATAATTAACAATATATATATATATATATTACTTCAGGCCAACTCAAATCTCCTCTAATTTGAATTTTAACAACAGATAAAAAAAAATCTATCAATGCCACATAAATTGAGACAACAAGATTACATATATTATTAAAGTTACATAAAAAAAAGATACTATAAATTATAATAATTATATTTTAAAAAAATACTATAAATTACAATAATTAACAATCTTAAATATCTAAATGTCTTATTAAAAGATTGATTGACTCTTCAAATTATGTCTATACCACATGAAAAAAAGTTATTAATTTAAATAATTAACAACTTTAAACATCTAAAAATCATATTAAGAAATTGATTGACTCTTAATATTTTGTTCATATCACATAAATTGAGACAAAAAAATAATATATGTTGAATCCGTGCTAGCATGGCTCTTGTAACCAATTTTTCATAAGAGAGAGCAATCATTTGATAAATACTTTTATATACCTACTTGATTACCGATCGACTTGCAAGATTTGTTATAAACTATAAGGGGACATATAATATTTCATAGCTTAGTGCGATTCAAATTAATTTATATATTTAATATTAAATTTTAAACTTTATTTCCTGATATGTACATACACATTTCATTATTGCGATTATTATGAAGAGAGAAAAAAAAGACAAAGAGGCAAAACTAAAGAAAGTATAGTCGATACACCATTAAAATTTAGGTGTCAATACTAATCAATAATCATTGAGAAGATGCATGGTCTCTCAAAATTAAAGTTTATCATATGAATCACATGTTTAAATTTTAGGTACTAGTGTACATACTAATTATTGAAAAGATTGTCCCCCATACGTTTATCATATGAATCACATGTTACGATTCACGTCGATAGTCGATACAACGGAAATTCTATCATATATATAACGTTACGAACTAAAAAGTTTATAGACCACACAAATATTTTATATAAAGGGACATATAATATCTAAACTATGTTGGTTTTGCTTGATTGTCCCTATATAAGTATCATTTCTCATTGGATATATTTCATTTTAAGACATTATCTAGATGGGTGGTTGTAGGGATAGGAAGGAATACTACATTGTTTTCCACTATATGAAAAGGTTACAAGTGAAAATAATATTAGATACCTACTTCAAAATTATATATGTATAAAACAAAATAATAATCAAATTTACATATAATTAAAGAAATTCAAATAAAATCATTACTTAAAAAAGAAAAATCAAATTCAAATTTTGTGACAATCCTTCAACTATATATTAGGATTGACAAATCCTAAAGGGATTTTATTGACTTGAAGCGTGAAAGATCCGTTAAGGTTAGTTGAAATCTTATCCTTGACCTCAACGGAGCTGAGGAAAACAAAAACAAAATCAATATTAATTATAAAATACAACCATTCAAGAATACTTCATAATCATCAAGAATTTGGATGTCTAAAATATTCAATCTTTCAAACTCAAAAATGGAATAAAATATATGAAAATATGTCAATGCTTTACAATTTCAACTATATAACCCTACAAATATAAAAACAACAGTAAAGTACTTATATTCTCAATTTCTCATCACATCACTACAAAATGCACAAATAATGTGTGCGCAAGCCAATTTAATCAAGTTCGTGAAATAGATAATAATTTTTTCAAGAAATTCCTATTTTGATTTTCTTATAGAATAATAAACGTATATATAAGAATATATGGGACTCATAAAAGGATGCCATAAATTACACATACATAATATTTGGGGGTTATGATTATATATAATTAATAGAAGCTTAGCAAAGGAATTAAGAGAGGGGAGAAGTAATTGGAAAGATCGCTTAAGTAAGTGTTAAGATAGCTAATACAAAACTAATTATAGCAAATGAAAAAATAAAATTAATTGTATTTACATATATCCCAAGTTGTTGATAATCATCAAGGAATGTGGTCTTGTTTTCTAGTTTAATAGATTCTTTATTAGAGGAGTTAAAGGGTCAAAAACACACTTGAACTATTCTTTTTATTTATTTTTGTTTCATACATAAACTATTGAGAGTATGAGTTTCCTACCTGACTAGCTATATCACCCAATAGTTAGTGAAACACACCTCGACTAATTTTTTAATATGTGTGTACTACACTCTCTCTTTGTTTAAAAATTTTGCCACATGGATCTCCACATGAAAAAAATAATTTCACCGTAGCAATTCTAAATAAATTAATATTAGGTAAAAATTTAAGATTAAAAGTTAAAATTATCATCATATAAATTAATTTATTTCAACCGTCACCATTTTCTTCTCCACCTTTTTTTTTTTTTTTGGCTTAAGTTTTGGATATTTTATTCATAGCTTCCAAAATCAAAACAAGAAATTACACCTTCTTACACCCCAACAGCTAGTATCCAACCTTGACAAGTCCACTACTAAAAATGGAAAAAACAACAAATAGACCAGGCCCTTTCCTAAACCTGATATGGGATCTTTGCCGTAGCTCTCTTCACTGCTTCTGTACATGAACAACAAAGATGCCTCCATGTTACTGACCTTTATGCTTTTTTGTCAGTTGTTCAAAGGTTTCTTATTTTCTCCACCTTTTCATGAGTCGTGGTCTCATCTTTGTCGTGATGTCAATATATATCTCTAGCTTGGAAGGGGATAGCGTAGGGTTTTAAGGATTTCAATTTAAAATAAATTAGAAAAATTAATCTGTCACCTAATAGAATTGTTATATATGTCAAGTGGATGAAAATTTTATGGATAATTAAAAAGTATTTTTAGACAAATATTTGGTCTAGTCAACGTCTAGGAGTGTTTTCCCTAAATCTGGATGACACTTCAGGTAGAAATTTCACACTCCCAATAGTTCAGATATGAAACTCCATAAAATAAGATAGTTTAAATGAGTTTTAACCTCTAACTCTTATTAGAGTAGTGGAAAAGACTCACAATGACTTCAACATCATTTATTTTGAAATATTTTAAAATTTTAAACATAAATATTAAGGAGTAATCATTTTAAGGGTATATGTTGTATGGATATTTAATTGAGTAGTGGAAAAGACTCTTGATGACATTGATAATATATATATCTATTTAAAATATTTTAAAAATTTTAACATTAGTATTTAATGAGGACAAAAAAATTAATTAACATTTCAATGACCTTCATACTTTTAAAGTACTATAGACATATAATAGGATATATATATAAATTAATCAAATAATGAGTTTCGAATATCAGATACTTTTAAGGTTAAAATAAAAAACTTTTGAACTCATTTTCCATTGTTCCTCATTTACCCCTAGAATAGGAACTTGAGAGGTAATATAAAGCCCAAAGTGGAATAAGAATAATCTCACTCACAATTGTTTTCTTCTCTTCCTCTTCTTATAAGGTGTCATATATAATTGTGTATCCAAATCAATTTCTCATTATGTTATGCTCATTGCCTCTTTTTGTCAAACCCTATTATAATAGGCCTATTTTCCATTCCATTGACCATTCTGGCCAAGAGAAGAAATCAAGAAACTTTAATTCAAATAGTGACTCTTTTCGCTATGGTCTTAATAATAGGCCTAAACCAATTAGAACTTGCATTTCAACTAGCCAAGAAAAGTTTGATCACAAGCACCAATATCCCAAAGACCTCAACTTTTATGGTGAGTATATATGTCCACATATATTTAACATTCATTTTTTTATACTATAAGATCACTTTTATTACATATTGTAGCAAGTGATTCACTTTATAATTTCACTAGTAGAAAATGTGAATTTCCAAGAGAGGCGTCCCATCAGATATTGGCTCGTCCTTAAGGGATTTTTGATAAAGATATTACGTCGAGCCAATAATTCAAAAGTTTGACTTATTTATTAATTGTTGCTAGACTACTATTTTTTTTAATCACAATTTGCTAGTAAAAAATAAGGACATAATATGTTGACTTTAGAAACATAGGTCCCAGTTGGTCTCGTCTATGAATTTTCTTTTCCTGTCCTATTTATCATTTCTTTATGACAATATCAAGTATTAGCTTTTCTCTAACACTTACTTAAACTTTGTTCATGCCCTATTTAAATTTTCAACAGATTCTTCTCTATCAAAGGAAAAATTTAAACATGAAGAAGATGATTTTAAGAAGACAAAGTCAAGAGCTTTGAAGAAAATTAAGCAGCCCATTTCTCCTGGAAGTAGACTATCAAATTTCTTGAGCTCACTTTTTACAAATGGGAAAAAAGTAAAGATTTCCTCAAATGATGAGGACAAAAAATCAAAATCAACTTGTTCTTCATGTGGACACAAGAAGTTGGATATGGACCAACAAAATGTGGAGGCAATAAAAGGAATTAATAGAAATTATGTTCATGAAGATCATCTAAAATCCCACAAGAATATTGAAGATGAAGATGATGATTATGATGAAGGTGCAAGTTGTGCAAGTTCTGATCTGTTTGAGATTGATATTTTTTCTTCCATTGGATTAATGGGATTGCCTTTATGAAACAATAAATATTGGTATTAATCTAGCCTTTAATGCAAATGGTAGTTAATTTACTTTTGTAACACTAAATAAATATATTGAGAAAATTGTATTATTATTATTGGCATTTTTATTAATGAATGAGAATGCAAAGTAAAAAGACATAATACATGAATACTTTGTCATTCGTCTAATTTTGAATGTGCACAAGTAGATAGTTAAACTTAAGACAAACACAAATAAGGTGAGCCGATTTCATTTGAGGTACGGTAGTCAATATCCGTTGAAGTGAAATCCACATCAGTATCATTAATAAACGCAGAAGAAATGGACTTTCTAAAGAGTATAGCATGCCCCTATCCTTATCTCCAAGTGTGTGATCCAATAATTTATTGAGTGATTTTTTCTTATCGCTACACTGAAGTCCCTATGAACATGAAAATCAAAAGAAATGTTAATGATTTCTCTTTATATCAGTCTCATTATATTTATTTATTTTAAAAGGGAATATTTTTTATGTAGTTCCCGTGAAAACTACTTATGATCCTAACATATACTTGAAAAGGAATAAGAAATTAAGTGTTTCTCAAATTGAATATGCTAAAATAATTGGGAGAATAACATTTCTCCAGGACCATATTGTCACGCTTCAAGCCTACATCCTAGACGTGGCGGGGACTTGAGAACCATTGTTGGTCCCCAAGTGAACCCTTGGTCTGACTAACTATAGACATGAAACTCAATAAGATATGCGGAAGCCTTAAATAGATGAGCATTTAAATCATTTAAATAAAAGTTTTGAAACATTGTCTTGAAGTACTTAACATGAATAAGTTCCAATAAAATCATAGGGAGAAAAACATGAAAAAAACATATAACTATGTCTATCTAGGAAGCCTCTATTGTTCAAGATAGGTGTCGGAAAAAGATCCACGACACCTCAATACTACTAAATAGAATAATAAAATGGAGTCCTCCGGAAGCAAGGAGGTCTCACGAAAAGTTATCAAGAAGTGTGAAGTGATCTCAACGGAGCGTCTGTCGATGATCCCAGACACCTGTATCTGCATCATAAAAAAAGATGCAGGTCGAATGACATCAGTTCATTGAATATACGAGTATGTAATATAGCCGAATAAACAAATAACTGAATTGAAGGACTGAAAACAACTCAACTGAATCAATACATGAATATGAAGTGATAACTATTAAAGCCTTACAATAAGATATGCAATAAAAGAAATATGACAATAATATACTTTATTCTGTGGGGAGCCAATGGCGGAGCTAGAATTTCAACTAAAGAGTGTCAAAATATAAAGAAGTTAAATTGTGTAGGAGTCGAGGAGTGTCAATATGTAATATATATACATAAAAAATATATTTTTATCTAACTATGCAGTATAATTTTCCGACGGAGGGGTGTCGGTCGATTTATGGCATTCATCATTCATATATTCTCATTTACAATTAGTGTGATCAATAATGCAACGTTCGCATACATACATGTATCATAATGAAGCAAGAACAAACATACATTACACAATCATAGAATCACAACCAACCTACCTCGAAACAAGCTTGAAACCCTAAAAAACTTGATTCTTCCCTTTCCGGATTTGTTCCGCTTGTTCTTGGTCTACAAACAATCAATACACGTACAATACGGGAATCAATAAACAATCACTAATTACCCGGATTACTAACAATTCCAACAACCCTATAGATCATACCCATGATCCCACTACCCAAATTAGGGCTGCTTCCACCATAAATTCCAGGTCAGCCCCCCCTCCCCCCAATCATAATTACCCATTAGATTACGTTCTACGGATCGAAAAATAGATTCGAAGAGTTAAAACCTTACCTTTAGCCTTAAAGATGGTGGAAACTGTCAAGAATCGCCTAGGGTTCGTCTCCTAACTCTCAAAGTCGAAAAGTGCAAAATAAAGACATTTTGAGGTTTATTTCCGACTTAAGTCGCGTCGGGTCCACCACAGCGGTCCCCACCCCTCTACAGCGACCCCGCCCTGGCGACATAAATCACCGCCAAAGCGGCTTGCACGAAACAGTGAGCTATTTTAATAATTCCAAGACCCAATTTCACAACACACCTTCAACCAACGACACTCAGAAACTACCCGTTCACGCTAAGATCAATTCCAAGAGTTCTACTCTCCCGAATTCAATTCCGTAAAGTCGTACGGGTTCCTTAACGACTTATCTATCTACTCATGTGATCAAAATCATTATTAGATCACCCAATTGCTACCATATTTTCCTAGACCTCACATACTCCGATTTCGTCCAAATATAGACTAGGTTAGGAAATTCCAAGTTACTATGAAAAAGTTTTTCAACCCAAAAATTTTCCCCGTTGGCTTTTCTATAACGACGGAACCCAATCGTTACATTTCTTTGTCGTCTAATTTATCGTTCTCAATATTTGTAATTATTAGCTTTCGCATAACGCTTTGTGATTTCAATTCTAACACTATACTCAACCTAATTTATATAGCTTATGTTATTAGTTAATTGAGTAGATATACTCATAATTCCAATAGTTATATTGAAGTGCTCTTCATTAAGGGTGTTCGTGGTCCGTTTTGGATCGGTTATTGATTAAAATCAAAACCAAACCAATCTAATCGGGTTTTTAAATTTCTAAAACCAAACCAAACAAAAAAATAACCATCGGTTTGGTTCTGTTTTTCTGTTTATTCGGTTTGAAAGTAATAATTTTTTGAGGACGTACGTATCTCGATAGACACAAACACGTAGTATATGAATAATCCACAGAAAAGCTATTGTTGATTCAATTAAGCAATACTAGAGTTATCATTACACAAACAATGTGATTCAATTAAGAGAAAGTGTGACTATTTTATATAAAGTAGGGTAGGTAAACACTAAAATGAATTTTGATGGATTTTGACTTAGGATTGTTATAGTTGGGCTAAAGTTTTGGGCTTGAGAAAATGATAAAGTTAAAGACTTAAGTTAATTAAAATTAAACAAATTATTTATATTCTATTTATGAATAATATATTTATAAAATTTATATAGCTAATTTATCGGTTTGGTTTGGTTATTTTTGTGGTTGTTTTTAAGTAAAATCAAACCAAATAATATCGGTTTTCAAAATTTAAAACCAAACCAAATATCAATTTTTTTTAATTGATTTGGTTCGGATTGTAATTCGATTTGATTTTTCAACCATAACCATGAACAACCTTACTCTTCATCATTTGTTAAGTAGTCGAGAGGTATTATGAAAATATAATTGTATTTTAATGGAAGCCCATGGATTGCAGATAAAAACATAATCAAGCAAATCAACAAAGTAAATAGCATGTAGCTTCTTGTCTTAAATCTAATCTAGTTTTAAAGAACAAAAAGAAGCAAAAACAAAGAGATGAAGCCATTACACAACACAAACTATCCACCAACCGACTACATTATTATTTGATTTTATTGAACTGACATTTTGATTCTATTTGATTACTTTCTTGCAAAAATTACAGCCATACATTGTTTGATTGATTGATAAAGTAAGTAATAGGCATAATACATAACCGTATATTTTAACTTAGTCTTAACTAACATTTATATTTTTTAATTTTGGATGTGCACAAGTAAACGTTTAAACTTATAGTATCTCTATTTAAAAAAAGATTGACCTAGTTTAACTTGAAACAAAGTTTAAGAAATTAAAGAAAACTTTTCAACCTATTGGTCCTAAATCAAAGTTATATCAGACGTACCAAAATGTCCTTTAATCTATTGAAAACTAAAATTAAAGTATTGTAGAAAAAGGAAAGGAGTCATTATTTTTGAAATAGATAAAACAAAAAGTAAGTCATTCTTTTTTAAAATGGAAAAAGTATAAGATTGAAGAAGTAGACATAGTCGTCCTACATGGCGTTATGTGTGTATTATGTCACATAGGATATGTATGTTTATTTGTTTAATTTTCTATAAATTTAAATACCTATTTGTGTCTAAAATTGAAAGGCATAATAAATATTAGTTGAAGTCAAGTTAATGAGTATTTATATGTCATGTCTAAGTAATATGATTACTCCTTTTTTTTCCTTCTTTATTTGAAAAAAACTAACATGTTGCTCGAATGACTTCCACTATAATTTTCTTGTTATATTTTGAGCAGACAGAAATTATTTTTGCATTATGACCTATTGGTTTAGTTTCTTTGGTACGTTGCAACTTGCAACATCTTCCCTATTAGGGGTGTACATGATCGGATTGGTTCGGATTTTTCAAATTAAATTATTTGTGTTGAATTTTTAAATTTATAAAACAAATCAAACAAATAAAATTTGGGTTTTTCAACCTCAAATTTTTTCAGGTTTTCGGATTTTTGGGGTTTTAGGTAAAATATTCATACAAACATAAAATTAACTTGTACTTCAAATATTTCTTTAGTCCTACCAAAATACAATTATCTAAGGTGTTGCTTAAGAAAATAACACAAAATATGAGATGATTAATGACACTAAAATATCCAACAACAAAAAAATAATGAAATCGCATAAAACAAATATTGTAAATTAGTAAGTCATAATGAAAATGATCATAATTTAAAAGTACTAAATCATGCTAAAATAAGTTTAATAAGTAGTAGCTACATGACTAAATATTAAGGAAAAAATAAAATTAGATTATGTATTTTAATTGTCTAAACCAATGTAAAACTAAAGAACAAATATTCAATATTATTGTCATTCTTAGTGTTGAATTAATTTTCTTTTAGCATTACTATTAATTTGATTTTGATTTGAGTTTTATAATTACCAACATCTATGAATTATAACCTTTATTGGACCATTCAAAATTCTAAGTTTCAAAGTTGAAATAATATATTGAAAGATAAAACTATGAAAAAGTATAAGAAATATTTAAAAATTATATTAAAAATAAATATTTTTATGTATAAAATAAAATTTTAAAATTATATATATATAATGTCGGGTTGGTTTGGTCTCGGGTTGTTTTTTTTTAGT